GTCTAGTGGAATGTGGCCCTGCCCAGGGCAGGGGGGTTGGAACTAGATGGTCTTTAAGGTCCCTTCCAACGCAAACCAGTCTGTGATTCTATGATTTATAGTGGTTATTCATTTTAATTTGTGTAGTTCCTATGGGCACACGGTGCTCTGAACAAATTTCATCTCTAAATAAAAATGTACAGATGCAGGAATGTTGATGGTTTTGCTGCAGAGGGGGAATTTTTAGTGCATTTAACATTTGTTGAGGCATGGACTGGTTCCATCTGGTATGTGTTAAGAGGATTGGGAGATTCTAAAACTCACCATCAGAATCAAACCTGGGATGTTATTTGAAGGTGAGAAGAAGCTCTAGGAAAACTCTGGAGGCAAGGTCACCCTCCAGCATAGGTTAAAATGAGTTCTTTTCCACACTGGTTGCAGTCTGTAGGTGTTTGCAGCAATGGCAGCATCTGATTTCTAGGGTTTTTTCTCTCTGGCTTAGAGAGAGGTTGCAGATGCTTTTTGGGTGATTTTTATGTGGATAATGCCCCACGCGCTGCATATCATCGTTGGGTAACGGTCCTCTTTGTTAAGATGGCCATGACATACACGTGCTCTCTTTCCCACTACTCATAGGAAAGCAGATCCTTGGAACCCTTCATGTTGCAGTATCAAACTGTCAGGACAGTGATATTGTTCTTTATTCCTAAGACAAACTGGTGATGCGTTTTTTAACATAGAAGGTGCAACTGAAATATGTATTACGTGTTTTCCACCCCCAGGTTACACTTGGCTTACACTGCAGATCTACTGTGACAGTGAAAGCAGGAAGTAATAATTTTGTGTCATGCTTTTGTTTGCAGTGTAATAAAAGAGAAAGCCAAACCCCCAGGAGGCGAAGCGAAAGGGGCGCAGGCAGCACCAATCCAGCATTCTTTTCTCACAGATGTATCGGATGTCCAGGAAATGGAACGTGGACTTCTGAGTCTCCTGAACGACTTCCACTCCGGCAAACTCCAAGCATTTGGTGAGTGCGTGAATTGTCTGTATAGAAGGGCTGTTTCTCTAGCCCTACGATGGTAGCGTTTGCAGTAAGCGTCCCGCATGGACAGACGGCCAGTTTGTCATACCAGATTCCGCCGTGTGAGGTTTAACGTAATTAGCAGATCTTACTGCGTTTTTAAATGACAGTCGGGGCGTAAGGTTGTCTTCGTGTGAGATTACTCAAATGCTATTTAGTTGTTCCTTCCAGCATGGCTTACCCAAAGGCAGTACCTTGGCTTGTGGATTACAGATGCCAAGTTTACAGCCACTTACTTATGGTAGTGCAGGAAAAAGAAGTAACTGTATTTAGCAGCTGATTTTGCTGCATATTAACACTTCAGACTGTTGGTAACAACTCTTACGGAATCCAGTGCAAGGTGCATTTTACTCTTCTGTCTTAGCATCTTACTATTCCTACTACTTCACAGTTGATGGAGGTTTCAGAAAAACCACGACACTCTTCAGTTTCCTTTTTTTGTTCCCCATACTGAGTAGAAAGACACACACACGTGCTTCCCTAAGTTTAGCGTTAGGTCAACTTGTCATATGAATCCCACACTGATTTTACAAGAAAGCCTGAAAAGTCTGTATTACATGAAGTATCAGTTAGGAGAAAGATATCCCCAGGATTAATCAAAAATTAGAAAGAAGGTTTATTGTGATCATATTTAAAGTTAAAAACCCGGGCCTTCCTAAATCAGAGAGAAGTTCTGGGGTTATAGAAAACACACCTATGTTCTCAAAACCAGTTAGTACAGTCAGTACTTATCCTAAGTTCAGCACAGCGTAACACCAGACAGGATGACAGAAACGTCAGTAGGGAGAAATCATCGAGAAAGCAAATTAACTTGTAAATCTGATGTTTTAAGTCCTCTTCTCGCATACAAAAAGCTGCGTTTTCACACCTTCATTTGCACTCCGAGGCTTCTTTATGTAAAGCTGTTGCTTGTCCTTCTAGGAAACGAGTGCTCCATCGAGCAGATGGAGCATGTGCGGAGTATGCAGGAGAAACTTGCTCGCCTCAATCTGGAGCTCTACGGGGAGCTGGAAGAACTCCCTGAAGACAAAAGAAAACTTGCCAGTGACTCCAACCTGGACAGACTGCTCTCAGACGTAAGTACCGGGAAGGCAGAACACACGCAACTCGGCTCGGGAAAACCACGCTGCAGGGTGGGCAGTGATGTAGGGCTGAGGAGAACGTGGTTCTGTGATGAACCGGGATGTAAACCCTGCCTTCATCCTGCTTTTCAGGAAACACACCACCTTCTCTTCTTCTTCTTCTTCTGTGGGCTGCCGCTTGCTGTGGCAAGGGGAGCAGCCTGGCTGTACACTGCCCGAGGGCGTTGTTCAGAGACAGCCAGGGTGACAGGGAGCCACAACCCTTTTCCCTGTGCTCCATCCTCCCACATCTGGGGGAAGACCACGTGTAACAAGGAATTTAGATCTGTATATTCTGCGCTTCCCGGTTCTCCTTCTCAGCTGTGGAGCCCACAGCACCAGAAGGATATAGACCAATTGGAGTGAGTCCAGAGGAGGCCACGAAGATGCTCAGAGGGCTGGAGCACCTCTGCTATGGGGACAGGCTGAGAGAGTTGGGCTTGTTCAGCCTGGAGAAGAGAAGGCTCCGGGGAGACCTTATAGCACCTTCCAGTGCCTGAAGGGGCTACAAGGAAGCTGGGAGAGGACTTTTTACAAGGGCCTGTAGTGACAGGACAAGGGGAAACGGGGTTAAATTGAAAGAGGGGAGGTTTAGATTGGATATCAGGAAGAAGCTCTTCCCGGAGAGGGTGGTGAGGCACTGGAACAGGTTGCCCAGAGAAGCTGCGGATGCCCCATCCCTGGAAGTGTTCAAGGCCCGGCTGGATGAGGCTTTGAGCAACCTGGTCTAGTGGAAGGGGCCCCTGCCCATGGCAGGGGGGGTGGGACTAGATGGGCTTTAAGGTCCCTTCCAACCCAAACCAGTCTGTGATTCTATGATTCCTTTCGCTAGTGTATTTCCGTAAAACCCCAAAACTGATAAAATTTCTTTACGTTTCCTGAGATTGGCAGAGTTAAACTTCGTTTGGGACTTGGCTCTGTTGGTGTAGAATTCAGTGCAGGTTTGCTTTGCTGTCTGTAATAAAATCGTACATTTTGGCCTAAACTAATTATCAGTGAGTTCCTTCACGGTTTCGGTGTATGTATTTCACTGCATCACCAGAATTGTTGCATTTATTTGACTAACTGAAATGCAGTTTCTGATACTTTCTACGTTTATGTTGCAGCTAGAAGAACTGAATTCATCTATGTATCCTTTTCCTGAGGTGTGTCTTGCGTTACAATTACCGTTAGCTCTCGTCAAATTGCAGTATGCGACCCTGGTAACTGCTGTCTTTACACAAGTCAAACCGCTTCGTTGACGTCCTTTCCTTTACATCAGCCCTGCAGTACAGCATGAATTTTAAGTTCTTCCAGTACATAAATGACTGGATGTTAACACTTTGAACTGCAGGCTGGTTTTTCGTAGGAAGACTTGTTTAGGTGGCGTGCCCCACTTCAGACAGGGTGTTGGCAGTCGACGGCAAAGCCCGTCCGAAGCAGGGCCCTTGTGCGTGCTCCCTGCCAAGGCATCCTGGAACAAACATAATATTCCCTCTGTAGCGTTCTGTCCCACTGGGCAGCAAATCCTGTTACCTTTCAGTTTTCTCTGGAAATATAGGCAGATGTTTATCACCGATTTTACTGTGGCCAATCTATTATTTTTTGGGGGGGAGGGGAGGTCAGACCGGTCAAATCCTTCAGCAGAGCTTCGGTAACTGAACAGACGTGTGCTCTCTGCCCACCCAGAAGATACAGCTGAATGCCTTTGCCACGCATCACACCTTTGATGAGCTAAGAACGCAGCGGAGGAGCGCTGCCTTCAGCGCCTACTGCCATCCACTCGCCGCCGGTGGTACGCAGTTGCGCGCATCGAGGAAGGTGGGAGGCTGGCTTGGGACAGAAGCTGCCGCACTGGCGTATGCAGCCTCAGCGGCACGCTGCGGAAGGCAAGGTCCCCGCGCAGGTGGAGCGTGATGATGTCATCACGTGATAGCGGTAAAAGTAATCTGCCACCCCCTCGATCCACCAGGCAACTCTGGAAGTGTGTAACGCTTCCGTCTGGTGGAGGAAGATTAACCTAGCGGTTGGGAACTGGCCTAGGACTTACTCGAACTGAATTCATCTGGCCCTCGCAACAGCTGAGCCTAGTTTCGAGTAGACGCTGTCTTGTTTGCACCTTATCGGTACATGGAAATGGGATTCCTTAACATTTTGTTTCAGCCAGAAACTACATTTAGCAGATGCTCAAGATATTCCAAATAGTGCCACGGGCTGAAAGACCAGTGTTGTCAATTTGGTTCCTCCCAGGAGCTTTTCTTTTGTGTTTCCTGACAGTGGAATCTGGAGCAGCTATTGGTTTGTGAGTTTTGTGGTGGGATTTTTTTTTTGGTGGACTTTTTAAAATTTATTTTACACAATGAAGAATAAAAGTGCAAATCCAAGTGTTGATTTTTGACATTCCTCTTGGAGCACTGCGTCGTGTCAGGGCTCAGTACCTAGAGTTTTAAGTAGGTGGTTGTGATGCTGTGCTTTCTCTTATTGCCTTATTTAAGAGAAACACCGGGGAAACCTGGGAGTGCGTTTCTCCCACCCAGTGCTGTCCAAACCGGCTGAAAATCATGTTCTGAAAATCATGTTCTTTGGCATTTCTCCAGTTTTTCTGAAGGTAGCAATGATGATGCCTTTTTGACCAGTATGTAGACAATCTGCACACTCTGCCTTGAGCGTTTTTTTTTGGTCAGCGATGCCACAGATTAATTTACTGCTAACAATAAAGTAGAACACCTTAAACGTGACGTTTCATTTGGAGAAGCTGCGATCTGTTCAGCCGCGTTAGGGCAGGAGTTCTCGCACAGGCTGAATGTTTGCAGAGTTTGCTTTCTTTGTTACTGTGAATACTCACAAAATGCCACTAAACTAGAACTAGTGTGCATGCCAGCAGTCCCTGTAATTTGATTAAACATTGTGAGATTCCAAAATCGAGTAGACAGTTACTGTTCAATAAATCCAGTATTTGTGATTCTGTGGTCATTCCTATGTTGTAAACAGCCTGGTGTTAATTGGTGTCACCTCCGTGGTCCCAGGCAGAGGAAAATCTGTAGTAGTGTGAAATGGAGCTGGTTTTAGATCCAGAATGTCTATCCTGGTCCATCAAACTCTGCCGTTGGTTGTGGATTTATTTAATACTCGGTTTTTAGGCCGTGCATTCAGGTCCTACGTTGTATAGCCTTCTACTCAGGAGCATCAGCCCAAAGCAGAAGGTGGCCGGGGGGAACTGCTTGGTACCTTTGGAGAAGGTGCTTCTTCAGCCACAAGATGGAGTTGTGGATTCCCTCAGCTCCAGCTCCTTTCCAAGTCCCAGGAAGGCCCCAGCCTGCGCTCTGCAGCGGGGAGCAGAAAGACCAGCTGAACACCGCCATGTGCTCTGGCTGCCAACTGAGCCTCCCACCCCCTTACCCCCTGCCTCACCCATCTGGCAAAGCTCAGCGGTTAACGGAGCAGAAGGCAGCCCAGTTTAGGCTTTTCCTTCAGGAAATTAGTGTTCTTTACTGATTTGTCTCCTTTGCTGTTGAGATTTTCTAGGGCTTTAGCGCAGGGTACAATTACCCCCACGTCCCAGCTGGGCACGTACCTGTTGTGAAACGCAGAGGCAGTTTCGTAGCCGGAGAATAACAACACGCTGCTCACAAAATGAAGCCAAGGGTTTTTTTTTTCCCAAGGCTTTAACCAATACTTGGGCAATTACCCTTTTCCGCACGGTAATGCTCCCTGCCAGCACCGCGGCCTTGCTGCCCTGGGGACTCGCGCACAGCGAGCAGAGAGGCGGCACGCCGCAGCCTGAGGGAGCGCCAAGGCGCGGGGCGAGTCGCAGCGGCAGAAGTCGGGAGGAGAGCGGCACACGTACAAGCCAAGTGACTTGTTCTTGCTGTACCCGCACCGGCAGCTGGCCGCCAGCGCAGCGCGGCACCGTCACACACGCGGGTCCCGAAACGCACTTTTAACCAGCGGTTTTCAGGGTTGGAGCTATGGGACAAGGAAGGCAGCTTCTGGGCTCTGCCATCGCCCTCTGCTTGGGCCTATGACCTCACGAGCTTTCAGATCACTGACACATGTGGTCTGTTGGATGTCTCGATCTCTGCAGCAGTTTATGGAAGAGCCCAACGCGTGAGTGTAAACCCAAGGTATGGACATAAAAAAGCACCTTTCTTGAGCAGCCGTTTAGAATTACACAAGAATGAGCACCTCTTTCTTCAACCAACTTAAGCCCATGGGCAGTCGCAGGTCATGACGAACACATCGATGGCGGATTATTAAGAAACTAAAATTCTCTTACCTGCTCCTGGATACACATTTGTGTCTTTACATGACCCATTAATGCATACGCTCATTATCTTTGGGATTCATACAAGAAAATTTCACAGCAAGATCTCCGACAGACTGAGCTACTCTAGGTAGCAGTAAACCTGTGACATTTAGAATCACAGGATGGTTTGGGTTGGAAGGGACCTTAAAGACCATCTAGTTCCACCCCCGCTGCCATGGGCAGGGACACCTTCCACTAGACCAGGGTGCTCAAAGCCTCATCCAGCCTGGCCTTGAAGACCAGGCTTTTTTCTAGGCTCTTGCAGGAAAAGAAGAAAAAAAATCTACCATATTTGCAGACAATTTTGTAATTGCAAAAGTATTTTGTAATTATAAAAGTGGCTGCATAAAATCAGCTCCTTTTCTGAACTGTTTATGGAGACAAAAGTGTATTGACACTGTATGTGTCCTGGCCTAAACTCACACTGGTAAATGCACATGGTGCTTGAAAGAAGATGTTCTTTCCTGCGTTCCTGGTCTGGACTATCACTCCAGGAGACGCGGAAATCTCAGTGAACCAAAAAAGAAAATGAAAATCAGGAAGAGACCAGGAAAGGAAGGTGTCTTAAAGAAGGGGATTTAGAAGAGATGGGAAAGATGTGCCCCACGCTGGTAAGACCCCTCCTGCAGTACTGTGTCCAGCTGTGGTGCCCCTCCACACCAGAAGGACACAGACCGATTGGAGCAAGTCCAGAGGAGGCCACGAAGGTGCTCCGAGGGCTGGAGCACCTCTGCTATGGGGACAGGCGGAGAGAGTTGGGCTTGTTCAGCCTGGAGAAGAGAAGGCTCCGGGGAGGCCTCATTGCAGCCTTCCAGTACCTGAAGGGGCTACAAGGAAGCTGGGGGGGACTTTTTACAAGGGCCTGTAGTGACAGGACAAGGGGTAACGGGTTTAAATTGGAAGCAGGGAGGGTTAGATTGGATATCAGGAAACAATTCTTCACAGAGAGGGTGGTGAGGCACTGGAACAGGTTGCCTAGAGAAGCTGTGGATGCCCCATCCCTGGAAGTGTTCAAGGCCAGGCTGGATGAGGCTTTGAGCACCCTGGTCTAGTGGAAGGTGTCCCTGCCCATGGCAGGGGGGGTGGAACTAGACGGTCTTTAACATCATCTCTGGTGTCACCCACTTCAGGTTTCCCATCCACTGCTGTAGTGGCACCACTTCCCATCACTAGTGCAGACCAGAAACTGCGTGCACACAGAAGGTGATGCCACTACAGCGATGCCATGGAAAAATACAGAGTAGGTGACAACAGCTTCACCCACCACTCACCCTCCTGGGCTGGGAAAGGACACAGCCAGGGGGCCGACCCCAGATGACCAAAGGGATAGTCCTGGCTTAGCAATGAAAGCTATGGGAAAGGAGGAGGAAGGAGAGGATGTTCGTGGTGATGGCATTCTTCTTCCCAAGCAGCTGCTCTGTGTGCTGTGTGAGTCCTTGCTTTTCTGGAAATGGCCAAACACCTGCCTGCTGATGGGAAGTCATGAATGACACCAAGGAACAGCTGGGACAGACTTCGGGGTTAATTGAACTGGGCCACATAAAACTGAAGCAAGTAAAATAGCATTTCTTAATAGCTGGAGGAAACAATAGCTTAGTTATTTCAGTATCTGTTGTCACATTAACAACTTCGTTGTGTTGTGCATTTATGCAATGCTCGGTCAGATGACTGTCCCAGGCTCTGACAGCAGGACCTTTCCCCTCTTCTTCCTAGAATGGAACCCCTATTAGCTGGGTCCTGTGATACGGAGCTGCTGAACACGGAAACCACTAGCAGAGACTGCCTGCTATTGCTCGCAAAGTTTCTTCTGGTCAGCAGGTCAGTCTGTACAAGACAAAGCAGGTACAAAACCAGCACACCGGCCAGAGTAGCACCAGAGCTCATCTTGCCAAGCTGGGAGGCAAGAAGAGAGCAAGGGATGCTCAACCCACAGCTGTCACCATTCTCCGGTACAAGCAGCCTGAAGTAAAACTGACCCTGAATTCCTGTGCAAGCAAAATCAGACTCAAAAAGGCATCTGTCTGCTCCCCAGTGAACGACATACTCCAGCCACATCCTCTGCTGATGGTCTTGTTCTCAGACTACGTGCATGTCTGGATCCTGAAAGACAATGAAAACGAAACCTACAGTTCACGATCAACAGCCAAGGAAATCAGTTTTAAATTAATACTTCTCCCAACGATCACTACGTGCATGTCTGGATCCTGAAAAACAATGAAAACAAAACCTACAGTTCACAACCAACAGCCAAGGAAGTCAGTTTAAAATTAATACTTCTCCCAACGATACTTCTCAGCCAGGTTTTGAAGAAGCACTGACACACTTTGCGTAACACTCGCTAAGGAGTTAAGGCCAACCACATTTAATACAGTAAATACTAACTTCCTGCAGGAACAGTGTACTTCAGAATTTGTTTAAGCAGGATTCTGGAGTAACTGCTGATCCATATAATGCTACTTGGTTCTCTACAGAGCCAGTTTAGTTTTGATAATCCTTAGCTTGATTTTTATTTTTGTACCAAAACAAGGTTTATAAAACAGTTCTTGCATTGTATGTTTTTGACCAAACACTTGCTTGAAACGCTTTAGTTTTCAGAGTCCAAATACAGTCTATTAATAAGGAATGTTTTTTAAAAAGCACAGTTACTAGCTCAGCTCTTAGTTAAAAGTTAGCTCATTTCCTTCTAGTTTTGATTAGGAATCTGCAACTTGTTAAAGGCTCATCAAGCACTTCTAACACGTGCAGACAGATACGGAAAGTGGGTAATCACAGCTCAGTGTTATGAACTCTTCAACACATAGAAGTCACCGTGTACAATACTGGGACGATTAATCCAACCATCACTTTGGCTCATTCACGGATAAAGTGGTCACCTTATTGGTGGCTAATAAATAAAACCAATTAGTATTTGCTTTTTTCCCTACTACACAATTATTCACAGATAATCACAGACTGGTTT